TTCGAGCCTTAACGAGCCTTATCGAGCCGAGCCGAGCTCGGCTCGTTAACCAAACGAGCTTTAAATGAGCTCGAGCTCGGCTCGTTAAGGGTTCGAACTCGAGCCGAACTGAGCTTTAACGAGCCGAGCTCGAGCCGAGCCGAGTCAGGCTCGTTTAATTTAACAGCACTACTTGGGACCAAAACAAAGAAAAATTAAAAGAAAAAAAAATCAGAATTTTGACAAATAAGGTTGTGCCGGTCGAGTGATAGTAAGACACGTTGTTATATGCAATAGATAAAAAAAAAGTACGTTGACTATTGTCCGTTATTGTGAAACCATTTTTCCGGATTGTTTTTGTGATTTGGGCTCTATATTCTCTCGAAAAAAAAAACAAAAAAAATCCAAAATCCCCGAACTAAGCCTTTATGCATTGTCGCCGCCTCTGCGCCACCAAGCCGGCATGGGCCGGGTCGCGGCTGGGACTCTTTTCTTCCTCACCCAGATCTAGTTTTGTGGGTGTTATGACCGCTGGTGGATCTCGCCGCCCAGCTTATATCCCTGGCACTATGAGGGGTTGTTGTTGTTGTGTCCAGCCTCAGCCGTGAGAGTTTGTCGCTCTGCAGGGTTTCGGTTTGTGTGCCTCTTTTCTACTTCTCGAAGGTTGGTTGCTCGTCCGATTTGTCGTGCCCTTTTCCGTCAGGCCATCGGTTTGCCGAGATGCAGGCAACAAGCAGCCATAGACGGTGCCTCCTTGGAGCCTAGTCTTGAGCCCTCCGGCGCCTTTGTCGGCTCCCCCTCTTTTTCCCGATGGCGACGTCTAATGGAGTCCGGATCTGGTCCGAAAATCCGACTAGGTGATTTGAGTGATTGCAGTTTTTGGATTTAAAGTCTAGTTGTGTTGCTCGGTTCGATTTCTTAGTTGTGGTTTGTGAATCGGTTGTCAGCTTAGGTGGTCGTGTGGTTTATCTGCTAGGATTTGGGCGGCTTTACTCTTTATGTGTATTACGTATGCGTTGTTTCCTTGTCTTCTTTTGTTTTTATTTTGTTTCGTTAAGTCCAACGGCGTCTGGCGTCTAGTCTCGTTCATGAAATTTTATTCTTCTTTATGGAGTCGTGTTTTTGCATTGGTTTTGCCTCCTTGATGGAGGTTGTACCCCCTTGGACACCTATATTGTTCCAAGGGGGGTAGGTCCAGGTTTTCTGGTTCCATCGGTGTTAGTCGCATTTGTACTCTATTGAGTTTTCTATTTACTAATATAACTTGTCGTTTTGAATAAACAGTAGTAGGATTTTTGACAAAAAAATCTACATCTTGCGTGTCTAAGTGAAAAATAAGTTGATCAATGCGATACGTACCTATTCGTGAATAATTTTCTGCGAATATCATGATATGAATCAGCAAAAAAAATAAAATGGCAGATAGTTCTAAATTATGAGCCTTTCAATTTGGATTTGTGATTTGTGAATATGCGAATACATTACGAGTAATCATTAATTATACGCGTTATAAATTTGGATGTGCGAGTCGTAAACTATGCAAAAAAAAATCGCATGATTAATCATAAATATGTGACTTTCGATTTGGATATGTGATATCTAAATCTGCGATACTTTCATGCATATGTTAAATTATACAGTGGATTCAGATATGCATTATAAAATATATTCAAACATAATTCGCATATTTATTAACTATGCCTTGGATTTGGACATGCGAGTCGTGAACGATGCGAACTTGTTTCGCATAATCTTAAATATGCGGCAATCACTTTGGATATACGATATTCGTATATGCGAAATAATTTTCGCAAAATTTTGAATTGGATAATAATAAATGATGCGATTCGTGAATATGCGAATAAGTTACGCATAGTCGTCAAGTATACGGCGGGGGGTTTTTCTTTTAATGGCGTTATACATTTGGATATGCGAGTTGAAAACTATGCCAAAACATATGCAGCTGTCAATTTGAATATGTGGTAACTATTATATTCAAAATTATTTTCGCATAATTTCGATTTGAATAATCATAAGTTATGCGATCCTAGAATATGCGAACATATTACGCATAATTATTAAATATACGACGTTATAGATTTGGAAATGCGTATTGAAAACTATGCAAAAATATTTTGTATAATTTCAAAATACGCGGCGATTAATATATACATGCGATAAATTAATATGCGAAACTTTATCGCATATGGAAAATTGTGCTGCGTATATGGATATGCGATTAAATAAAATAAACAAGTGTTTCGCATACTTGTTAACTATGATGTGTGTTTGAATATGTAAGTCGTAAAATATGGGAAAAAAATATCGCATAATGATGAATATGTGGTTATCATTTTGATATGCGATTACTGTATATCGCGAAATAATTTCCAATAGCAAGAATTATGCCGTGAATTTGGACATACGATAAAAATAAATATGTGAATGTTTTTCGTATAATTATTAACTATACGTCCTATTTGATTATACGTTGGTTTATATACTACAAAATCTCCCACAATGTTAGTTATGCAGTTCATTTGGATATGCGATTGTCATATCGCATATAATGTCGGTGAAAACAAATTTTTTTATGAGACACTGTGTAAAAGAAAATGCACGTAACTACTGGAATAAATGAAATCCATCTAAATTTGGTTATACAATTGTATGATTGTTAAATCTAACCATAGAACTTCATTATTAGAGCTTTATCTAATTTCCCAACAACAATGCTACTCAATAATTCATGTGGGGTAAAATTTTCTATTTCTATCATCATGTTCCAATTAAATTAAATTAACACGTATCATTCATTCAATTGAATAAAAACAAAGACACTCATAAGGTCAATTTTCCACTAAACAAATAGAGCACAACAAACTTCAATTATCTTCTTCCTGTACTTCCTTAGTTTGTACAAGTTTTTGTCGGCTTTCTTGCAAGACTTGAACACAACTCATGAACCAAATGAATTGACCACACATTAATCTTTAACTCTTTTGTGCAATTACACACATAATTGCTCCTTTTATTCAGGTTGCATTGCATGACAAAAGGCACCACACAAAGCAAAAGGGCCCCTAATTAAAACTCATCTCTTTATGTCCTTCATTTTCTCATATCTATCTCATTTTTTAATTTATCTTTTTTTTTTTTTTTTTTTTTTTCTCTATTCATTTCCTTTTCACATACAATGAATCAAGCAACTTGGTATGGTGGGCTTCCAAAATAGTGACTTGGGATTAGGGCTGCAAACGAGCCGAGCCGAGTCGAGCATTGGCCTTATCGAGCGGATTGAATTTTTTTTTTAAGGTGCTCGAGCTCGAGCTCGAGCTCGTCGAGCTCGATTTTTGGTGCTCGAGCTCGACTCGATCAAAACATACAAGAGCTCGAGCTCGACTCGAGCTCGACTCGAATTCATAATGCTCGAGCTGGGCTCGAGTTCGGCTCGAATTTTTTCAAGAAATTTTGTAAAATAACCATTAATTACATATATATACAAGGGTATTTTAGTAATTTCACATATCTCGATCTGCTTCGCGAGCCGCTCGACAATGCAATATATGGGCTCGAGCTCGACTCGAGTTCGTGCTCGAGCCGCTCGAGCTCTACTCGAGATCGGTCAAACTCGAGCTCGAGTCGAGCTTTGACTCGAGCGCTCGCGAGCGGCTCGCGAGCTGCTCGACTCGTTTGCAGCCCTACTTGGGATGACTTAAGTTATGACTTGAGATGACTTAAGTTAGGCAGAACCTGCTTTCGCACAAATTTTGGACGGCCCGGCGGGTTAACCCAGGACCTGGTCGATCTGGAGCCGGAACCGGTCCGAGTGGGCTATTTGGACCGGGCAACAAAGGACTCGGACAAAACTCAGTCAAAACTAGCTAATCCGACCTTGACCAGGTCAACCCAAGGCATTGACCCGACGAGAATATATATTATTAACACTTTAATACAAATTTTATATACAAAACATTTAATTTTGTTACTTTTATGTATATTTATATGACAATACTCTATATATAATTTTTAAAAAATTTAAAATTAATTATCCGGTTCAACAATTGACCTGGTGACCCGACTATATATGAGAAAAAGAACTGTTTCGGACAGCATGTGATTAAAGTAAATGAGAAAAATGTTGCCGGAGACAAATAGTGGCCACTGATTTATACATTGAACTTTACAGTGATAGTGAAAGGATAATAATATATATCTTTTTATTTGAAAAGGCTGATGTAATGTAATATCTGAAGCATTTAATTTTTATTGTACATAAAGTTAGATGGGTACATAACATCCATATAGAAACAAAAATATAGAAAAAGTAAAAAAAAAAAAAAAAAAATGAATGGAAATTAAGTTTCATGCCCTGTCACTGTTTTGAATCTCTCCCTCTCTGTAGCCCATCACTATCGTGGGCTTTGAGCAACACCACTGCCTTAACAATTCTGGGCCTTTACACTTATGTTGGGCTTCATAACTACAGTATGAAATTCATAGATAATCAAACTTTTATTTTTTGTTTATATGACAGCTAAGGTAATGTACACAGTATTCTTTGTTGCATTCAAAATTACATGATTTCAGAGAGATTCCACCTAAAAGTTAAATCTTGTCAAACGGTAAATTTCACCCTACCATCCAACAAACGAGTTTGAGCCATTGGATTAACACACACTTGCACGAGTATGTGCATGTGATCTGACGGTTGAGATCCAAATGTAGGCAGTCTACATACAGGTAGATACAAAACCGAACACTTTATATACTCGATAATAGCTTGGTGCGAGTATAAGAGGCTAAAGCTAAAAGCCAATTCAAGTGTTCGTTGTTTATTAGATAGAAATTAAATTATAAACGCCCGAAAATATAACTGAATTCAAAAAATAAAAATGTGATGGGTCAAATATTAATAAGATTATAGTTTATTATAAAAGTTGCTATTTAGTTTTTATTGTAAAGTTGTTGTCCTATAAACAACAACTATAGGTTCTTGTAATTTTACTTTCATACCCTTGTGTAACCCTAAGTATAAATAGGGTTCATCCTCTGTATTCAAGACACTTTTCCACATTTTTCCTTTTCAATACAAGTTAAGCTTTCCTTTTCTCTCTCTCGTGTTCTTCTGTAAATTCATACAGAATCCTTAGTTTCAATTCTAATATGGTATCATTCGCCAACGATCTTGTGTTTTTCGCTTCCGCATCTCTGTTCTATTGATCGATCTTATCTCCACCTCTGAGATTCTATCGGTTTCCTTTGATTTTGTTCGATTTTTAGGGTTTTTGCCCTCTGATATTCGTTTTCTGATCTCCATCTCTGAGATCTGCTTATTTCGATCGCGATCTATCGTTTCTATCCTAGATCTGTTGATTATCGACATGCCTGTGAATCCGACCGACGATCCTGCATCACCGTACTTCCTACATGCGAGCGACAATCCAGGCGCCATCATCATCGCCGACCTGTTCAACGGCGAGAACTATGTTTCCTGGTCGCGAGCGGTTCTAATGGCACTCAGTGTCAAAAACAAAGGAGGTTTCGTCGACGGTACTCTGATCTCTCCATCTCCTACTAGTAATCCTGATCTGTATGTATCCTGGTTTAGGGCAAACAATTTGGTATTGTCTTGGCTTCTCAATTCTGTTTCTAAAGACATACGACAGTCCTTGTTGTTTTTCAACACTGCAAAAGATGTTTGGGATGAACTTAAAAATAGATATGCAGTCAGTACAGGCCAGTCAGTACAGGCCCTAGAGTGTTTCAACTGGAAAAATCATTAAGTACTATAGATCAGGGTTCTCTGTCTGTCACACAGTATTACAACAATTTTAAGGGTCTTTGGGATGAATACATTACATATCGTCCCATATTTCGTTGTCATTGTGGTGCTTTCACTTCTTGTACATGTAACATTTTTGATTCCATGGCTGAGTCTCAACAGCATGATTGTGTAATGAAGTTTTTGATTGGGCTTAATGATTCATATGCTTCTCTCAGAAGCCATTTTCTATTGTCCTCACCCTTACCCAATCTCACAAAAATATACTCCCTATTACTTCAAGAAGAATCCCAAAGATCCTTACACAACACCACATCAACTGTTGATCCCATGGCTATGTTGGCTAAAACAGCTCCTTCCAACCAAAAATATCCAGAACCCCCATTGCAAACAAGAAGGTCCACCAGACATACAAAAACTCCTGCTTACTTAGATATATATCAACACTCCCTATCCTCTGCAACCTCCTCCAACAGCACTTCTGGTACATCACAATATCCAATATCATCTTATCTGTCCACTAATTACCTCTCTGCATCTCATTCATGCTACACTGCATCTATATCTCTAATCTCAGAACCTAAGTCATATTCTGAGGCTGCTAAAGATCCTCAATGGCAATTGGCAATGAGTAAAGAAATAGATGCACTAGAAAGCACTAACACATGGTCTTTGGTTCCTTTACCCAAAGACAAACATTGCATAGGTTGCAAGTGGGTTTTTAAAGTAAAGTATAAATCTGATGGCACCCTAGAAAGATATAAAGCTAGATTGGTTGCCAAAGGTTATACACAAGAAGAGGGGATAGATTATTTTGAAACCTTTTCCCCTGTTGCAAAGATAACCACTGTTAGATTCTTAGTTGCATTAGCATCCATTAAACATTGGCATATACATCAACTTGATGTAAATAATGCATTTCTTCATGGAGATTTAGATGAGGAGGTATATATGAAACCTCCTCCTGGATACTCCAAACACAATGGCAACATGGTTTGCAAATTAAATAAAAGTTTATATGGCTTAAAGCAAGCCTCTAGACAATGGTTTTCTAAACTGACCAAATGTCTCATTGATTTTGGATTCACTCAGTCAGTAGCTGATTGCTCATTATTCATTATGCATACTTCATCATTCTTCATTGCATTATTAGTCTATGTGGATGATATTATCATCACAGGTGACTGCCTTACACAAATTTCTGCCATTAAAAATCATTTAGACAAATGTTTTACAATCAAAGACTTGGGTGTTTTAAAATACATTCTTGGTTTAGAATTTGCTCATTCTGAAAAAGGCATTAATATGTGTCAAAGGAAATATGCCTTAGACATATTAACTGATACTGGTTTTTTGGGCTGCAAGCCTTCAAACACCCCTATGGATCCTACATTGAAACTTTCTGCATCCACAGAAACTGATACTTTAACTGATCCAACATCATATAGGAGACTAGTAGGTAGACTTCTATATCTCACTATTTCAAGGCCTGACATTGCATATAGTGTTCAAACTTTGAGTCAATTCTTATCCAAACCTTCCATACATCATCTCAATGCTGCTCACAGGGTACTTAGATACCTCAAAGGTACAGTTGGTAAGGGAATTCTTTTTAATAGCTCTTCTGATTTGTCCTTATCTGCTTATTGTGACAGTGATTGGGCCTCTTGTCTTTCAACCAGAAAAAGTATCACTGGTTTTTCAATTTTTTTGGGAAAATCTCTTATTTCTTGGAAATCTAAAAAGCAAAACACCATAAGCAGATCATCAGCAGAGGCTGAATACAGAGCCATTGCATCCACTACTTGTGAAATCCAATGGTTGCTGTACTTATTTGATGATTTCAAAATTCCTCACACTTCACCTGTGCTTTTATACTCTGACAGCAAGTCTGCTATTGCTATTGCAACTAACCCAGTGTTCCATGAGAGAACAAAACATATACAAATTGACTGCCATCTTATTAGGGAAAAAGTTGCTCAAGGTCTAATCAAACTTCAGCACATTGACACCAAGGAGCAGATATCAGATGTTTTGACCAAGGCATTACCAGGCCCCAGCTTCTCTTATTTGATTTCCAAGCTTAATATGCATAATATACATGTTAAGCTTGCGGGGGGGTAATAAGATTATAGTTTATTATAAAAGTTGCTATTTAGTTTTTATTGTAAAGTTGTTGTCCTATAAACAACAACTATAGGTTCTTGTAATTTTACTTTCATACCCTTGTGTAACCCTAAGTATAAATAGGGTTCACCCTCTGTACTCAAGACACTTTTCCACATTTTTCCTTTTCAATACAAGTTAAGCTTTCCTTTTCTCTCTCTCGTGTTCTTCTGTAAACTCATACAGAATCCTTAGTTTCAATTCTAATATGCTTCCCCGCTGAGATTCTTCATCTCGGCTATTGAAGCAAGCTATGGCTACGAGAACTTGTCGATTCCCGGACCATTGGTTCAGTTCTTCAAAAACTTGTCTTGTTTTCGTCCTTTTGAGACTGACTTGTATGGAATTGTGACTCCTTATGTCCTTCTGGCCCCCGAATGGTCCCACGAAAGTGGCTACGTTCTTGTTGAGCCCCTGTGCACACTTGTGCCACATATCCCTGCTTTGATCTCGCGCCTAAGAACCATTTGTGCTGTTGCTGTTCGTGACAACATGAATGACACTCTGTTTGCCTCTGATGTCAATGGTCCCAGCCATGCTGCCACTCTCTTTGGCAGAAATTTAACTAACAACGACAATGATCAGCAGATCATGCACTCTCCTGGCATGAATCTTGCGTTGCCTGGCTCTCTGAGGCTTTGGCAAAATGCTGCTAGTCGCCTTGAGTTTAATGGGGTTCCTGTGACTCTTGAGCCCGACACTGTGGTCGGAAATAGTTGGGCGTATTTTCTTCAACTGAACAGCTTTTCTAACTGGTTCGGCCCCTTCACCGCCATTATGTCTAAGTATAGCCAGTTTTGGAAGGGTAGTTCCACCATTGCTGAATGCTCCCCCAGTGGTTCCGCCTCTGGTGGTGTGAAAATGTCGATCGTCCACAGGTCGAATCTCACCGCCACTCCTCACTGGAATCCCCAAACTGGAGAGCACAATGACAACTCTCATGGGAACGCCAACCAAATTGGTCATTACACCCTTTACACTAATCCGAATCTAATCCTGGATGCCACCTGTACTATTCCAGACCTGCCACACTCCATGTGGTACGCTGCTATCACCTATGCCTTCAACGTTGTTGTTCCCGGTGAAGACATACCTGGACACAGGACTTGCCCCTTCTGGCAGATCCGACCAGACGTTATCGGCCGCACTGATGTCAGCCCACTGCAAGGAACCCTTGCCTCAATTTTTCGAGACTACCATTGTGACTCACGTCAAGACCCGCTGCATTATTTAAGCTAGCCGCCCTTCAACCGGCTCTCATCAGCTAATGGATTTTGTGGAGTAGATGCCGTCAGTTCCTCCACGATTTTGCGGTCTTTAATTGTTTTGTTATGTGCTTTTAATTTTTGTTGAATTTCAATCAAAATGTAATCTTAAGTATTTAATGAAAATTAACGGAAAAAAAAAAGATAGTATTACAGTACGTTAACAGCTATCGCGATGTTTCCATCTTCTCTCAGACTCATTTTTCCTGTCAGATAAGTGTCTACAGACAATTGTAGCTACAAGTAATGGCGGCACAAGTTACAAAAGAAAAAACCGACATTATATTGCTCATATAGAGTCGAAAGGCCAGCCTACCTTTTCTCGAATGTGGGCTGCGCAGATAATTTCACCACGCCACCCGCTAGTACCGTCTTACTACTTTTGGCAGCTTTTCTTGAACTCTTAGGAGTCCAGTCTTCTTGCTCTTTAATCTTTTGCAGCTGCTTTAAATGCAAATCTTCCAAAGACTTTGTATTAGCCGAAGCTGACGAACTCGGTTCAACCTTTTGTATTGGCTGTGGAAGTGGATTTATTGTTGGCAGGTAGAGATAGAATGTTCGGTTTTGCGCTGATGTTCACCCATTTATTCTCGACCCAGTCTTTGGAAAACCGGATGTCTTTCCTCTCCATGGTCAAGAACTTGTTCTTCCCTGCCATGAAATGATAGTTTAGATCAAATCATCGACCCAAGTTTGAGTATATACCAAAATCATTTTATGCTATCTGTTTGGGGCATTGCTTAGGTTAGAGCTTTACCAGGTAAGTAAACTTGAAGTTTACAGTTTAAAGACGTGTCGTATAGAGTTACAACACCTCCCCACCAGCCATCGCACCACCATGCATCGACAGTTATCCCAACGTCAAACTTAATTCCCGAAGAATCCTAATCGGGCCATGGCCTCACAGTTAGACGGCCCAACATCTCATGCCCAAGTTATCAGGATTAGCCACCCTCACTGCAGGCACCCATTCCTACAACACAAAACCTGGACAATTAGTGTCTGAAAATATAATGCATCATTTAATCGAACCTCGAGTTGATATACAAAATTAAATTAAATTCTAAAACCTCGAGCTTCCCTGGTCCATCTACGTCAATCATGTCATAGTATTGAACCTTTAGGCGTTCTTCTGATGAGTGCATAATATTGCACCTAAACCAGCAACCTCTCATGCCGCTATCCTGAGAAAGTAATTCGATATTTTCAGGGCTATTTGGCAATGCTCGACTTTTCGAGAAGCCCTCCCCTGTTTGCTTTCCTTTATGGTCTTTCAAGGCCGAGAGAATGGGTTGTGACGAGTAGCATCGTAGCTTTGCTAGACCAAAGGCACTAACTCTGCCATCCTTAAATTCTCTACAGCACACGAAACATCTAAACGATATTGTCTGAGGGAGCAAGTCGGCACATTGTTCGAAATGGGCAGGGCATTTTCACGCCTATCTCCCTCTCCACGGATGTTACTATAAAAACTTCCCGAGACAATGGGTTTAGGTTCGGAGTTAAACCCTCAATCTCCTCACGGAAAGCAAAAGGTCGTAGTTTAACCATTTTCTCACCTTGGCACCTTGCATGTCCTCGTAGTTTAACCATTTTAAAACGTTTTTATGATTTACCACTTTTCATTCAAGATGTATAAATAACTAAAACATAAATAAATAATGCAACAAATATATATATACGGAAATGCTACGGTCCTGTTACGAAACTATTCCGTCGAGATTTGTAACCGTTAGATCATCATGTAACCGTCAGAGATAGTTGATCTAACGGTTACAAATCTCGACGAAATAGTCTCATAACGGGACCGTAGGAGATTCTTAATAATAAATAATATCCACCCACGTTTTAGCTTCGGATAAGGCAAGAAACACACAAGATTCTCACTACCACCACCCATCTATCCACTCTCAAAAACCCAAGAAATATCCATGTTCTCATCTCAAATTATCAACAAAACATGAACACATTCAAACTCCTGCTCTCAAATCCCAGCAGCTTAGCCCCAATAAACAGACCAATAATCCCAATCAGAGCTAAATCTCCCTCCCTCGCTCGATCCAACACTAACACAACAAAAACAAACCGTTCGGACAAATCCCTCTTCATTTCGAAAAAATTCTTGACCGGCGATGTGCAGCTGCCTCATGTATCGAGCTCAGACAAGCACTCGAAAATGGTGGTACTCGGGGCGATGTCTTTCGGGCTCGCGCTTCTCTTGATGGGCTTCGACGGCCACGAGGCTATGGCTTTGGGCCCACGAGGCCCGTTGGTGGAGGAATTTTGGGACAATATGAGGAGATATGCTCTGTATGCTCTTACGGTGAGCACAGGAGCTATCTACACTCTTTTACAGCCGTTGGTGGAGCTTTTGAAGAACCCAATCTCTGCTGTTCTTATCTTGGTGATTATTGGAGGTGCCATTTTCATTGTGTCTCAAGTTGTGACTGCTATGGTTGGTCTCTCTGATTTTTCTTATGATTATGGTTATTAGATTCTAATTGATGTTTCGTTAAATATTTGTTTGGATGTTTTGGAATGATGATTATATGCTTGAGGCAGATATGTGAGAATAATATTAATTATTTTTTTGTTAAAGAGAAATGCGACGGTCCCGTTATGGAACCATCCCGTCGAGAGTTTTAGCCGTTGGATGAAATGTAGTTAGTATAAGATAGATGATTTAACAGTTAAAACACCCGACGAGATGGTTCCGTAACGGGAGTATAGGATTTTCGTATGTTAGATTGCATAATGGGTTATTCTATATACTTTCATACTCGAATGACATGTAGGAAAGTATTGTGTAATTAAAATTATGATGATGTTGTATAGCATAAATATGAATTTATTTGCAAGAAAATATAGTTGTCTAACGATGGTATTTGCGATTAGTTACGATAAATAACAATGCAGCTAGCAAAAATGTGCATGTAAATACTTTTTGGTAAATGCGTTGGAAATCGGAAGATCGCGATATCTTTTGAACGTAGCAAATCGTCGTAATATTGTGCAGAGTTTCAGCAAGCAAACGATAACTCAACAAATAGATCTCCCTTTTCATTCAATGCATGGAATCCATTAGTTTTAAGCTAATATACGAGCAGTTTGTGACCATCGGATGGGTTTATTGCCGATGAGAAAATAACAACTATAGCTACTACGTACTTTCGATTATTGTAGCGCAATATCGATCATGCAAAATATAAACTAATGGTTCATGGCGATTAACAGCCTCAACAAACAGATGATAATTATGAATCTGTTTGCGTCTCGTAAGTTTACATAAAACTTTGGAAAAACAGCACACCAATGAAGCACCTTACCGGCCATAACTAGAGTACATATATGATCATATCCCCCTACTTTATTTCTACTTTATTTGATTTTGTACTTTACAAGTCTTCCTGTCAAAAAAAAAAGTTCAAAAGACACTGTAAAAGACTAAAACCGGACGAGGCTATTCTTGTGGATTATAGGACACAAATTGCGCACTACTTCAGGAAGCCCGACTGTCACCATCTCCTTAGTATCAAGATTATATGGAAAAATCGACGGCTCATTCGCATCACCAAAAGCAAGCACCAAAACATCGGGATACCTTAACCAGGCAAGTGGGACAATCAGCCACTCAAGTTGATCAAACTGCTCAAACGTGCTCTTGTGAGCCCCGAAAGTGATTCTCCTCAACTTTCTCCATTCTCCCGTTTTCGGCTTCATTTCCCATGCATCCCACGAATACTCCCCACACTGAACCAAAAAGGACAGATATTCCCCTGCCGACAGAAATACCGTTGGCTGTGCATCGACTTCATTAATAGGCAGAGGAGTCTCTTTAATAGTCTCCTTCTCTATATCCATAGTCAAAACTCTGTCATTGTCGAGCGCGATCCAGTGGATAAATCCCCCTTCGATAGTCAACGGCTCGCCTTCAAATGCTTTCTTATCCGCAATAGACAAGTGCGCAGTAGATACACTTCTCCACGAGCCGTTCACGGCTCCAACAGTAAATATATAGCAGCACTCGGCTTCGGTTGTCGAGTCCTCTGACTCGGGAGGTAACGCTACAGCCACCTTGTACAATTTCGAAACCGGTGCATACGCAACACCGTACCTCGTAAATTTGTTTATCCCATGAAGCGGAGGGATGACAAGGTTTTGCCTTGTCAAGGGATTCAGAATACTAAGTGTGATAGTATTAGTACCCTCACCATCTAAAACCAAAGATTTCAACAAAAGACCATCAAAACCGATTCGGAGGTGAGATGGGAATGGTTTTCTCATCACAGATGTCTCGACTTTGTAACTGTTGTGTTCGGACATAGACATTGTGAAGCTGTCGTCGAATACGAGCATGCGCACGTCATTTGTGCGTTCGAGGTGTGCGCGTATGAAGAAAGTTGTACGGACCATATGGTACCACTTGCGGCACACGGGTCTTGCCGAGTCGTAAACATCTTCGGCCGGTAGTTTCACAAGGATTTGGTGCAAGATTTCGTCGGGAAGAGATTCTATGTCAGTTACCTGCCTCGGATATATATATATATATTTTTCATCAGCTTTATTTTCCCTATTTGAAGTCAAATTTCAATTAGAAGCATTTTCAATGGATTGTCAAAATGAAATTCAAAGTCAATTCTAAAGTGGTATATGATAATATGATTATCTAATAATACATTTTTAATATATTTCCTTACTTTTCTATTGAATGATATTTCAAAAAATATTTATGACATTGAATATTGTAGATTATGCCTTTAACAAATGAATATGGCTTTATAATGGTTAGGTGCATAAAAAATATGTGGTTAAGATAGGTCTGTGTTTGAAATAGCTCAATTTTGTTCGGTACGAGGGGCGTTATAGTGCATTTTTACCAAAAACACGATGTAGCGTATATAATTTCGCGCATTTTATAAAAGCGCACGTAATTTACGTTGTATTATGCGCTATTTACGCAATTTGCGCTATTTCTCATGCTATTTGGGCAAATCTTTATTTATAATAAAATACAAAAAAAAAAAAAAAAAAACTTGAGGCATAAAATTGAGTAATTTCTCCCATGACGAATTTGAGGGATTATAAAATCATGTTTCGTATGTCTCTTCAAAAAAAAAATTATTTGAAAAATTGATATCAATATAGCTGAGATTAGTGTTGTTAAATTAAACGAGCCTGGCTCGACTCGGCTCGAGCTCAGCTCGTTAAGACTGGAGTTCGGCTCGAGTTCGAAGGCTTAACGAGCTGAGCTCATTTAAAGCTCATTTGGCTAATGAGCCGAGCTCGGCTCTGCTCGATAAGGCTCGTTAAGGCTCAAAAATTGAATTTTTATATAATTTTTTATAGTTCGGCTCGTTAAGGCTCGAGATCGGCTCGAGCTCGAGGCCTTAACGAGCTGAGCTCGAGCTTGATTACAGGCTCGTTTACTTAACGAGCCTAGCCGAGCTCAGCTTGTTAAGGGCTCGAGCTCGGCTCGACTCGTTTACAGCTCTAGCTGAGATTGACCTGTTGGGCTATTAGAATCATGAGATGATTATGTTTCTTAAGCTCAAAAGTAAAATGAGAAGAACACTTCATTTTTTTTTTCTCTAAATGATGAGGAGATGCAAAAATTTGGTGAAATTTTAATAATAATTTTTTGTAGTTAAAATATACATAACTTTGATAGAAATTACGATGATAGCCAAATTCAATTGGATAACAACGATCATTTGAAGATTTGAGTCTTTACTTTAAACTTTAAGACTTTGGTTGTTTGAAAAATTAATATTTAAATGTTATTTTTTAGATTTAATGTCCAAGTTAATTTATGGTATAAGGCCATTTTAATTATTTATTCGCTTATATGGTTATATACATTATTATTTTTGGCATTAAAAGTAAATTGCTCTTATGCAATGCGCTACGCTATTTACGCAACGCAATACCAAGACCAAAACGCAACGCATTGCGCGATGCTCGTTTTAAAACACTGAGATAGACCAATGCATTTAAAACACTTAATGCGTAATGCATAGTATATCAAATCAATTGGTGGAAGGAGGAGTAGCCTACTAGGCTTATAAACTATACTAATTTACCATATCATTTCAACGTGGTACGACTCACAAATGATATTCCAACAACGATTTTAGAGGGTTTTAAAAGCTGAAACATAAATCTGTTAAGAAAAGGTTGGTATGGAGGACCGGAAGATAAGGGATAGAAACTAGTTCAATTTTCAAAGTTACCTCACAAAAGGGTTACAAAAGGCCTCTATTTGCTATTAAGGAGACAGGCCGGTGGACCAGGCCCGTAAAGGAATATTTCTTGGACCATCCACAAAGGTCATTTGGGCCACAAAAAATAACACTGCGTAAAATCTATAATGTTGATGAATCTTATTTAGTTGGTAAAAATCATTAATATTGAAACATCATTTGCATTAAATTGCTTTTACTAATGGTAATTTATTGGTAATGTTGTTAGATGTCATTGGCATGTAACTGAGATTCAGTCTCTACAAATATAAGCAAGTCAATTTGGACTCAATGCAATTGATAACATTTAAAGTAATGGATTTAGACTATTCTCCTTGCATTTAATTTGATTATTTCATCTATATATATATAATTGCTGGCATATAGCATTTAATAAAACATTTAATAAAACCTCCATTCATTTTCCCGCTCATTTTTTTAATTAATGTAGAACCGTTACATTTTACATTAATAAAGTGTAATAATAATTTGAATATAATTTATTCACTACTAACACTAATTGATTACAACTTTACATTAAATAGTATGTAGAAGTTACATACTTATAAAAAATTGTATTGCAATTTTTTTCTTTAAAATACTTTTTTTTCTAAAATGAAATATTTTTGTTCTTTTTAAGCGATTGTTATCTAATATTAATTAACTGGCATGAGTGTCATAATTAAACACCTTAAAACCACATAAACAAATGCTATAACAATAATAAAAATAATTGTAATACTTTTCTAACTAATTAATTGTATGGACCCTTTAAATTACTAAATTATATTAGCCATTAAAATTTATGACATCAATTTAAAGAATCATACGTAAGTTAAATAAATTATTACACATTGGCATGTAGTCAAAATT